TTTTAATCAGCAATATATAGACAAGAATTTTTAAACAAATTTAAATATTCACTAACATAAAATTTTGTAACGTAATGTCTTAAATTCAGGGTAAAGAAAAGCATTTTTAAAATTATATGTGAATTGCTGATTTGAAAAAGGATAAGTATTAAATATGACTTATTTAACAAAAACAAAGCTTTGGATTATTTAAGGACAATTGTTTGAATCTCAGTGCAAACTATATCAGTTCCAAAATAATACACACTTCGTTTTTAAGGATTGCATTTTTAATAGTATTCTTGCAGAACTTAGAGATTCATGCAGCTTAGAAATTTATTGTTAATTGACTGAGTTTACAAATTCTTGCTTTTCTGTCACTGAAACACTAAACTTGATGTGAAATAGGATTAAAACATTACTTTTATAACTTATAAGGTATTTTCTCACTCCTTTCTGTAGGCCTTCATGGTGTAATGGTTAGCACACTCAGCGCATATTCGAGAGGTCCAGGTTCGAGTCCTGACTAGGACATTGTACATTTTTCATGTTTCTTATTTCAAAAATAACCTAATGACTCTACAGTGGCACCCGAACTAAAAAATGTGATGAATGATGATTCTTCACCGTCCTGATTTGTCGATTGGGTCCCCTAATCACCAGTCACTCTTTAAAAGGTATTTTTTCCCTCCTTTCTGCATGCCTTCGTGCTACAGAACGAGCTACAAATTCGACACATATTCGAGAAGCCCAGGTTTAAGTCCTGGCTAGGGCATTGCACATTTTTCATGTTTCTTACTTCAAAAATAACCTAATGACTCTACAAACTGAAAGCTGCAAAGGAAATATGTAACATAATTAATATCGCTATGCAATGTTTTTTATGCATAAACTAAGCAATGTTATTTATTAACTCGCATAAATAATATAATCGTTCAATATGGTATTTTTTTAAAGAAAGGATATTATCGAACATTTTGTAATAAATAAATAAACATTGCATTTAATAATTATTATAATATGTTTAATAAGGATATAAGTAATTAAATATATATTATGGGATTAATTATTGGGGAGATATTTTTCTTTCCCACAGGGTTGCTAGTGGTCCTTACAAGTGCTTATATTTGATAATAAAATATAAAAGCTCTTATAGATGCTTGCTTTTTCTCTAAAGCACTTATTTTTTTAGTGGTTATTTTTTGCCTTTAGTGCCTTTTTTTTTTTAAACGAATGCACATTTTTTCACCATAACTTTCTTCCTTGTATGGAATGTCAGATGGTGAATCATACTCCCAGAAATAGCTTTTTCTCCCTTTCTCTGCATTAACATAACATTTGGTGCATGCAAGTACAGACAGGTGCACGTCGTTCTATTTGTCAAAGAATTGTGAAAACGGTAGAAAATTCTGGTACATTCCATATTCTTTTGCTCCCACCCAATACTACACATGTTTGAATTTCTATCAAGATTTTAATAATTTTAATTCTCGTTCCGCGTGGTCAGTTCATATTCGCGTTTATTATGATTCGTATGCTTATATTATGAGCATATGTATTAATATTTATAATAATATATTTGCAGTAACTGCTGAATTATAGATAAACTTCAGAAATGGGTAAGTGTGGTTTAACAGATTAGTTTTCTAAGGAATAATATTCAGAATGGCATAAATAAAGTGAAGGTAATCGAATATTCAAAAAAAAAATTCCCCCCCCCAATGCATTATACAGTACGGAAGCTGGAGGGTTCTCCCCCCTTTCTCAAAATCTCGAATATTGAAACCGTTACAGTTTGCAGCAAAGGAAGCAACAGACTTTTTTTCTTCTCTTTTTTTTATTTTGGTCACTTTCCAGCCTGGATTGCATAGGACTAAAAGTTCTGTGGTGTACTAACCTAAGTGAAGAATGATTCTATTCCGGAAAGTTATTGCAGTCTGTCCAAAATTAGAATGGGAAACACCCCCAGATTGGTAAATCTCTTTATTAATTAATATGAGTATGGAAATTGCGCGAAGCATTCTGCGCAATGATAAATATGCCACATGAGCGCATGACAGTGAAAACCGGACAAAACAAAGGGGCATTTTCCTTTATTTAGTTATTCATTGTCGGAATACCAGCAGCTGTTGATCCCGATTGTGTAATATCACATGCGACTGCACAATAACATTTGCAATATTTCACAGAGATGAAAGAGTTTTACTAAGCAGATTATTTTTCAGTTCATTTGGGCTATTTTTTATATGATGCACATATCGAAATGTCAAAAGCATTATTTAGCTGAAAAATCTAAAGACGGCTGCAACCTACCCCTACCTTCTTGTTTTACCAGTTACGCTCGACTATCCGGAATTTTCAGATATTCGGAAATTTCCGAGTATGCCGGTTAGTTAAGCTTTTACTGTTAAAGGATGACTGCATGAAGCAATTTCCCGTCTTCCAATTTCAGAAAAAGTTCATTTTTTTACTTACTTTTTACTTAAATTACTTTGCTTGCAATATCTGTTATGGGAAAACTGTTATACAATGAAAATTAAAAAAATGTTCAGAATTTTGATTTAAGTTAAAATATTTAAATATTAATATGAGCGGAAAATAAATTGATTTATTTTAGGTGCCAATACAAATATGGCTTTATTATTATTTATTTTCTCTATTTTGAACATGAAATTTCATCATTAAATCTTGTAATATAATTTAGCTTCTGCATAGTTTTTTTTTTCCCTCTCATTGTAAACTAGTTCTGTAAATCTGAACTGTTATTTAAAATTTAAAAAAAAAAAAAAAAGTAATAATTGTTTTCCATGGTTGAGTAATGCGCATTCTCTCTTAATAAATACTGAATTTCTCATATTTTAAATTACAAGTCTAATTTTTCTTTTAAGGTTATGCAGTTGTGTATAATGTAATTAGACATGTGCTTTTTTTTTTTTTTTTTTCTTAAAATGTGCTTGAAAAGTGCTTATGGGTGCTTATTTCTGTAACTAAAATGTGGCTATGAACCATGTCCCAGTATTCCTTTTTTGAAACATTAAGTTCTAAATAAATGTCTTGTTTGAATGTAGCATTAAGTATTCACACCAAACTCCTAACCAAAGAAAATGCCATACAAGGAAAGATCATTAACCTTTATTTAGAATAAATATTTTTATTATTATTTTAATGCTGTTAATAATGTACAAAAAATAAATTAAGTTCACTATAGTGGATTGAATAAGACTGCTGAACATTGGTAGTTTGTGATGGGTTTGGTTCCTGGCAACCAAACTGGTTAACTGCTTGAGTCTTTATGACTTTTCTCTTGCGTAACCTGAATTTAAGTCATTTTTATTTAGTTCAATTTCTATTCTTTCTTTCATGACTGAAGCACTGAAATATCGATTTTTTTTTCTATTTTTCTACTGCAATTTATATTTGTTTTCCAGTACCTTTTTTTATTGTGAATTGAAATTCATTAATACCTTTAAAATCTTTCGTATTCCCAATTTATGTGTTAGCAACAATTATTTTTTAAATTACTTCAGTTTTATTTTAATAATTATAAATAAATAATTAGTTTGAGTTACACTAAATTTTTCCTACTTAATTTGATGTGGCACTTAAAGAACTTAAATTTAAACAAAATTCACCTTTTTAAATTAAGGAGATTAAAAAATTTTCATATTTTTTTTACTGACAAATACGAACTCTTTCAAAAAGAGGACTTTTCTGTAGGAAACTGGAACAAATTCACCTTGCATTACGAGGAAAACCAAACACGCAGGCAGCCCATTCGCCTGGGTTTCAACTGAAAGCAAATCGAACTACCAGTATTCGGCAGTCTTTAACTTCTCGTCCACTGATGGGGATTCGAACATGAGACAAGTGCAATATTTTTTAACATGCTCATGAAATCTCAAAAGGTGACCGTAGAGGGATTCTGACTCTCTTGCTTTCATGTTTCATTTGAAAAGTAAAAGCAGCAGCACTAGGTGCCAGCAGACTAATACGAATTTTATTTGAAAGTTACTGAGTTAGTATGTAAATTGATTTTCAGCATCAGAATAATAAGCACTATTGCAAAAAGATTCATTGCATTATCGTATTTTCATAAGAGATAATTTTATCACGTTTCTTATGGTAATAATGTACTTTGAGAGACATTGTATAATTTTAAGTCATTTGTAACGAAAGTTATTTATGCATTGACAAGGCTTATTGACTTGAATAATAATGTTACCTTTACATTTAATAATTTGCGATATAAAAGATGCATTGAATGTGTATAATTTTTAAGAGAGATTAAGAATTAATAGAATAAACCATGAACTGATGTACGTGTATAATTTCATTAACTGGAATATAAATTTGAGCTATACTTTTAATGAAGAAAATCATGGGCATTTAATTTTCTTCGCGCATCCATACAGAATCGTACTTCCAATTCGAAAACGTTTTAAAGTATGTTGTATAAATACCATTTATTCTTTAAAGAGCTGTGTACGCAATCGAAATCAAAAACAGACTCTTTTGTTAATTTTTTTAAGTAGATTTATATATAGCTAATAGCCAACGTATTACTGAATATTAGTGTATATCTTGCCATGAATAAAAAAGTATTAAATAATTCCCATAATCCAAAGTATTTCAGTAAAAGGTGTAAATATTACCCCTTATACCGAAATACTGTTATACTTGAACTGGTACAGTTCTTCCAGAGATACTTTTTCTGTGTGTATTTTTTACAAAACTGCCTCCTAAGGAATATTTTTCCAGTATTTTGTATGAAGAAGTAACAGCGGTGAATTCTAAATAAATGCCATGATCTAAGTGGCTTAAGGCATTGATGAATATATAATGAGTAGGTAAACTGTAATACAAAGCAAAAGATAGCTTTAAGTTAATTTAGATTTTATCATGCTGATCTAAATATTTTCTCTAAATTTTGCATTTGACATTGGAGCATATCTTTTCTGTTCAAAGTTTTTAAAATTATTTATGGTTATCTAGATATAAATCATGCTTTATTTCATTTTCAGGTGAATGTGAAAGCAATGGAGTGACACAAATTTTGGACATCATGTATTTGAGAGCATATGAAAGATTTCTTGATAATTTTTTTTATTATTACCTCAATTTTCTGAAATTCTATAAAAAATAAGTCTTGTTATGATTTTAGTGTCTGTGTCATTAAGCCAAATTATTTCTAAAATTATATCACTTTTAAATCTAAGTCAACTCTTTAAATATTAATTGAATGTTTTGACTTGCTTCTTCATAATGTAATAAATCTGCATTATCCGATTTAAAATTAAGTAAGAGATCTATTGATTTCCGAAAATTATTTATTCCGCATATTACATACAGTAAGACCCCGCTTAACACAGGGGGATAAGTTCCATCAAAGTAGAGCGTAATGCGGAACAGTGCTAAACGAGGCTATCTTAACATGTAAATAATGGGGTTAGGGGAAGATGGATAGAAAATTGGTTATGTATTAAATTTAATAAAAATAAAACCAAACATTTATTTCTTACAAAAATAAAAATAATATAAATGAATATACTTATAAAAACAAATAAAATTCTCAGTCAGATCATTCAGTCTATTCTGTGTTTCCAATTTTCTGCCTTTTTGTCAAGAAGGCATTATGATAGATTGGCTTAATGGCATATTGCGTTCAATTTCGTCATCAATCCATATAGACAGTCGTTTTTCCATTTCCTCTATAATGTTATTTCTAGAACGGATAATTCTAGTTGCAGTTGCCGATGATAGTATTTTTTCTTTATTCTTAATTGTCCTTATTGTTGAAGTGGCCAAATTCAATGCAGGACTAATTTGAGATTGACATTCACCAGAATCTAATCTTCTAATCATTTGCATTTTAGTTTACAGTGAAATGCTTTTTCTGGTTGCTTTCTTATCTTGTTTTTTATTATCACCCATGATAAAAACTAAAGATCATAATATTTGTCACTGTATTAATCGTTATAGTATTATATAAATTTAGACTTACAATAATGTCAACAAATGTTTAATGAAAAAAATGCGTCCGTACAGCACCGCACCAAACAAGAAACACAACTACACTGTTTCGGATATGTTACTTGGAAACCTAGCGCTGCGCACGATTTCGGGGAATTCCTGGGTTGAAATAAATGTGCGCTAAACTGAAACAGCGTTAAGCGGGGTCCTACTAGTTACCAAGAGCAAGCACTTAAATAATTACCTAACTATAACAAATGCCTCTAACTAGTATTAGTTCTAGGTAACTGAATCATCATATTAATCTAATCTAAAGAGAAATTCGTAGCAAACTATAGTTAATTGTGATCGTTTGCAAAATATCTCATTAAAAGCACTTAATGCTAATTATATTTAAGCATTTCACTTTGAAGGTCACTTACTCCAAAAGTTTCTAAAATATATTTAATTGTTGCAGTCACATAAAAAAACCCAAGCAATTTCGCAGGTTTTAACTTTATTACAGTTATAATAAATTGCATTAAGTCCAGAACAAGATTTGGGCCATAACTTTGTACCTTAGTATGTATTACAAACAGGGTGAAACATAAAAGTAAATGGGGAAAATAATTTTTATAATAATTTGCTTTCTGATGATAATATATTTTTGAAGCTTCAAAACCTATGTGTAGCTGCCAGATTTAGAAACCAGGTAAAAACATTCTAAGGCATACTTATGTTAAAATTCGGAATGTTTGCTCTAGTATGACCTTCGTTAAATTCTAAGCAAGGTTGTCGAAAATATCTCAAAGAAAGTCCATCTTTAAAGCACATATTTCACTTTAGGTTTACAAAATGCACATCTATTGCATTTTAATAATGGTGGAGTAAACAAAAAGAAAGATTGAACAAATACTGAAATTAAAGGTGAAAAAAATACACGGTTTTGATTATAAATCGTTGCATTCATGAACTCCTGAATGATTTGAGATATTTGATTATAAATCGCTTGAGTGAACATGGCAGGATTGAATGAAGAGAGAAAAGCGACTGGGATGAGGTCAGACAAGGCAAGAAAAATATCAAGTAACCGGACACAGGGATGTAGTCAGTAGACATTTTTGCAGCAACCTACTGATATAGTCAGGAAATCATTGATGACAAAAGGCAAACTTTTCTCATCAATTTTAATTGATTTAATCAATTTTATCAATTTAAATTTTAATTGATTTACAACAGTCGGATTTTAATTTCAAATTTATGAAATTTATGAAAAACTTAAAAATTTTATTTAGGAAGCAGAATGTAATAAAAGTTGCTGACATGCGACTGAACAAATTCTGTAATAAAATCACTTCTAATCTTACTGCATTATCAATATTATTTTCAAGTCTAGTAATTAATGTTACAATTTCTTGTGATCCACGGCATTTAGTGTTAAATTGAAGAAGCTCACGCCGGGAAATAATGTTATGAATCTTACTTCACGGCACCCATGTTATGAAGAGAAAGTTTCGACACCAAGGTTAAATAGCTTTACTTCTAGGTACCATGTTATATCTGAAATTCCTATATTGTTAAATATGAAACTACTTGCCGTTAAAGGGAGTGATCGTATAGTGAAACGTGAACAGTATTTTTGCGTTGTGAAAAAAAATGCATCCCGGGACCGCGCCGTGAGAGGATCGAAAACATAAAACATATACAAGATATAAAGGAAAAGTTCATATTAAATATATAAAGAAGACATACTGTAAGAGGTTTCCAGATTAAATATCAGTTTATTTCAATTACAACACAATAAGAAAAATCTTAACCTCATCTAAGAGTCTGTTCATTTAAATCATCATAAAAAAACTTAAGGTTTGTCTGGTGATTTAAAAAAGGAAAGGGAAACAATTTATGGCCTGAGAGTTAAATTTTGGATTCGACGTTGTTTTTACTGCTAAGGACGTTTTTGGAAAAAACTTGCCTAAAGTTCCCAACACACCAAAAAACATAATACTTATCTTGAGGGGACATCTTGAAGTGGAGGAGAGCTCATATCTTAGCTCTATCCTTACTCACTTGGGCAAAATCCGCAAGACAAGAGACTCGAATCGGCACGACAATAAATTACATCAGCTATACCGTCAAATCTTACGCCTGCTACTGTTTCCATAGAAGAAAATTGTTCCCACTGGAAGCAAGAGAACAGCTTACACCGCACGGCTGTCTGCCTAGACTCTCAGCTCCACCAAGGAAAACGTGGACAATTAAGCTAGGCATTTTAGAGAACGGCTAACGCAGGCTTCCAGTTGACTAAGGTGACATAATTCCTTCTGTTTTCAAGTCGGAGTTCAGAGACATCGTCCTGACTTTTGCCGATACAGATATAGACCCAAGTCTCTGTGTTAAGTTTTTGTTATTCGCTCAACGGTTTTTTTTCTTAGCATTTTTGAGAAAACCCGCGGCCGGGGAAGCACAATTGCCGCTTCCCGCCAGAAGCGCTGCTCGAAGACGAACTAAATCTTTTCCTTTCTCCTTCGCAACACCCACAAAATTTTTTCTCAGCCTCCGTCAACAAGTCCGTCAAGCCCGAAAGTCAGCGAATCCAAGCAGTGAGTGCCTAAGCGAGTCAAGAGTAAGTGTGTCTCGCCCCTTAACCAAACGCGGCCGGGGAGCATATTTGCCGCTCCCCGCCGGAAAACATCCCGCTTCGTAATTACATTTTGTCCAGCAAGCCCGAAAATCAGCGAGTCAGTCAGAGAGTGCCTAAACGAGTCCAGAGTCAAAAAGTAAGTCCAGAGTAAGTGTGTCCAACTCAAATTTCCTTCTTCTCCTTCACCAAACGGGCTCCCACTATGGCTTCACTTATCGCCCCCTTAATTATGGCAAAATCTTCGTTTTCAACTCCAGAATGCGGAAATAGGGTGATCGCGCATGCGCGCCCTTCTTCACTTAGCCACAACCGGACCCTCAATCGCCAAAACCTGAATGACTTACATTGAAAGACAAGTAGCAACCTTTGACCTTTCCGTCACGTACTTTCCTCTCTTAAGGTCAACTAACAATGAAAATTCTTTCTCGAACATTCTAAAGCGCGCGAAAATCATGACTTGGCGAAAATTGCCTCCTCATTTCCCTGCCTCTTTCACAATGAATAAAAGTTTGTACATGATTTGCAAATAGAGGAAAATAAATAATACTCTTTTAATACTTCATTTATACCAAATAATATTTCCCGAAGCATCTGTCTTCTCCCCAAAATTAAAGCCTTAAATTAAATAATTCAGAATCAAAACAAAATTTAAATTTCCACAAATCATAAAATCATTCCACCTAATTTTTTTACAACGCTATCCGGTAATTTCTCTACATAACATTCCTTTCCCCTAAGGAATTAAATTTTGGTTTACCAAAATTTAGCAGACAGACACTTCTTGAAATACCATGACTCATACTGTGCAATAAGGCTAAAGGATAACATAATGTAACAATATTTCACACGACTCCTTGGTAACAGTGACGTTACTGACACATTAAATTTCAAGTCCAAAATGTGCAAGTAAAACAACAAGATTAATCAAAGCGATTACTAATTAAAATACTCAAAGAAAATCATCAAAAATAATTAATCAAAAACATCAATTAATTCACTTAATTAATTACATAGAAATATTCAGAACACATACAAAAATAAAAATAAAAAAATAAGGCGCTTAATCACAAACAAAATATGTCTAAAGTCAAGAATTCAATAATTTTATGACAAAAATAATTTCACTTTTTTTTTTTTTTCAGTTCATTACATCACACTAGTGTTGCAGTCTCTGTGTGGCCACATTTCTGAACGTTTATTTATCTATTCATTCCTTTTTTCAGTCCATTAATGTAAACAATTTCACCTGAGGTCGAACACATTCTACTATTGCGACAATTTCTGCTGAGCACAATCATGGAGTACATTAAATGAGTACGGAGTTGTCAATGCAAGCGAGGGAAAACCCTGTAGTTAGAAATCATTTGTGTTAACAACTCCCCGCCTGCAGCCTTCAACGCCGAGAAAATGAAAGCAACCAACCCCGGAATGTAAGAACTCAGCACCACAATACTCCCTTAGTAGAAGGTCACAATGCTCGAAAAACAAACAACTGACTAACAGTTTAGTAGAATGCAAGCCAAGAAACTTGACCTAAAAAGAAACCAGATTTCACCCTCCTACTT